CAAGGGGGGCATGGGTGTCCAGGCAGACCCCCTCTCGGCTATCGGGCCACGCGAAACTGCAAATGCGATGCCACCCCTGAGAAGACAGATAGGACAGACACAGACATTGCACTGCACTGCAGGAAGGCATCACATAGCAGCATACATCACTCCTCCCTCACCTGTACTAAGTCGACCTTTGCCCCAGCCCTCTCCACCACCTCTTTGCTCCACCAGGGCCGCCAAGCATACCGATTACGCACTTCAAAGGCGGTCCTGACCTTCTCGCGAAGCTGCGATGTGACGTGCTCTGTCCGCAGCCGCTGCCTGACGCCCTCAGCGTCGAAGTAACTCGCCAGCGATGCGTTCGGATGGACGATCAGGCTGGATCCGTCGCCGAAGACGATCTCGGTGCGCTCGTCGGGGAAGATGGAGCACTTGACGACGAAAGCCCCTGCCATCGCAGCAGCTGCATTGTCAATTGCATTCATTCAGGTGCGTCAAGAAATTCATCATTCCCATTCTATTTTATTCTACTATCGTTGTGTCTCGTGGATCGCGCCTCGCCCTTCGTTCCTCCCAGATCCTGTGCACCAACTCATCGGTATGAAACACGGGATGGACGAAGGCACGGAAATGGACGGAGGTGTGTGCTGTGTGCGGGTTGACTCATTGACATGGATGTGCTCTTGTTGTGGTGTGCAGGTCCTTTTGCACTTCTCTCCGCGTCGCTGTTTCGTTTGGGTGCTGTTCACAACCAACTGCTGACTGGTGCGCACGCGAACACACTGCTGGCATGCGTGTACTGTATCTGACCATTGTGCTGCTGGTGCTCTGTTGATGTGGCGGCCGTGGCAGGTTGTCAACCATTCCAGACCATTCCAATGGACGAGCAGATGACTGGAGAGAGGGATGCCAGGGCCTGTGACGGATCGGCATGATGCTTGTGGAGGCGCTGCCTTTCTGGTTGGCCGGCCTTGTGGCGTGGGTCGGTGCTGCAGGGGTCGTCGGGCAGGATACGGGACAGCTCCGCACATCCTGTGCGAGTAAGGTAGAGCAAGGCACGGAGGCAGCATTGCATTGCCTGTTACATCGTGTTAACTGCCATGGCTGCCTGCACTGCAGAGGAGCGATGCGATTTCATCTCGCAGCGCGGCGGTCGGTTGTGGCTTGGCAGCAGACCCTTCCGCTTCAGCGGAGCGAATATCTACTGGCTCGGACTGGATGAGAACGTCAACGGCATCGGCTTTCCAACCACTTTTCGCACCGAGGACGCCATACTCACAGCCAAGGAGATGGGGCTCACCGTTGTCCGCTCACACACGCTCGGTATCTCTTTCGGGCGCAACGAGTCCTTCCAGCCGACGTTGGGAGAGTTCCGGCCTGACAACTTGAGAATGGCTGACTACGCTGTCAAGGTGGCGGGGGACCACGGCATCCGTGTCATTGTGCCACTGATGGACGAGTGGGATTACTATCACGGAGGTGAGAATGTGTGAAGACGATAGCAGCACACCACACACGCAAATTGACGTCTATTGTGGTGCTTTGAAGGCATTGAGACGTTCACACGGTGGAGGAATCGGTCGAAGCATGAGTTCTACACGGACCCCACCATCATCCAGGTAGGTACGCGCAAAGAGCTCATTCTCTCCAAGCTTCGTGATGCCCCACACTGACCAATGCCCTTTGATTTCTGTGTGCTAAGGACTTCAAAACATACATATCAAGGCTAGTGTCACATGTCAACCGCTACACCGGCGTGGCGTGGAAAGACGACCCCACAATCATGGCCTGGGGTAAGCGGCTCGCGAAACATGCCCTGCATAAAAGTCATGTTCCCGCATCGCCGTTTGCAGAGACGGGCAACGAACTTGGCCCTCCCACCTCGTGGACACAACAAATCGCCGCCCACTTGAAGAGAGAGGCTCCCTACCAACTTGTTATGGACGGCCGGTGGGGCGTCGATCCCGCCAGCTCGCTCTTCGATGAGGTGGACTTTGTCAGCACACACTATTGGCATTGGCCCTACAGAGAGCTGGGTGAGGATCTGAGCGATGAGGGAGGGGCGCGACTCGCACACAATAATGGGACGGCGTTTATTGTGGGCGAGTACGACTGGAGGGGCTATCCAAGAAATGAGCTCAGGCCCTTCTTAAAGCGTGTGGAAGGGGATCTCGCAGTGTCAGGGGCTCTTTTCTGGTATGGTACGCTGCCTGGATACGGCCACCCTCACCATCGTTAGTTACTTGGGTGGGTGTTGGTGTGTTCAGGTCGCTGTTTCCTCACCATGACAGAGGCGGTTACGTGACGCATAAGGACGGCTATACCCTCCACTACCCTGGAGCCACCTGCGAGATGCAGCAACAGGCGCAGCTCATCCGCAGTCACGCTTACACCATGAGGTCGCCAATCTGAATCGACGATAGCTCAGCGTGCTTATCTTCTTCTGTCTGTCTTGTTTCAGCGGTTCACCACAGCCCAGCTCTCACGGCGTCCCTTCAAGGCCTCTCATTCTGGATATCGACGCCAAGTAAGCAGCCCAAGTCCCCATGGGTCCCTCACGAGTGGAGGGAGTATCTGCATTCATGCAGCTCTATTTCCTGGCGCGGCAGCACCCCAGCTGCGACCTACACGTTGGACGTCCGCTTGCAGCTTGGCGACCAGCATTCGACGTGGTATCCTCTCGTCGCCACCCCGACAAACACAGCCAATTCGTCAAACACTACAGCCTTCGTCGAGCCGCCGGCCTTTCCCCTTCTCGCGGTTGGCTTTAAGAAGAAGCCGACCTCTGCGCCATCGGGCGTTCGAATAGAGGAGTTCCCCACAGTGGCGCTGCCACCGCCGCCGCCCACTGACAATGAGGTGCCCTTCCCAGCCGGGGGCCTGGAGAGTCAGCTGCACGTGTGGACGCGGCGACGAGACAACTCGGCCGGCGTGGGAGAGACGGGCGCGTTCAAGAGGTGTGCACCAAAGGAAGGTGCGGATCTTTTGGAGTGGGTGCCGCTGAGGAATGTCTCTGCTGTCGGACTGTGGGGGCGGCTGACGGAGACTTTGGTGTGTGCTGAGCATGATGGTGCGTTTGTGGGTGAGAGTGTGGTGGCTGTGGGTGGAGAGGCGGTTCGGCTGTGTTTCCGAGTGAGGGGGTACAACTTGGATGGAGTGCCAGGACTGCACTCTGATGTGGCCTGCCTGCTATGAATGACCCTTTTATCCACTCAAAGATAAGATGTCCCGCGGGGGGGAGGGGGGAGGTCTGTCTGTGGACCTGAGAATCGGGTGATTTTGTATGTGGGCTTGCCTGCATGGATGTGTCTGTGTGATGCCTGCCAGTCAGGTCACCTGCCTGCCTTTATTTCTCGTTTCTCGTGTGTGGAGACAACTTTACCTATTCGGTTCACGGCACACTTGTCTGTCTCTGTCTCTGTCCGTCGAGAGCACTGCACGCCTCCTTAATTGATTGTGCACCACCAGCAGCAGAATAAGTCGCTGCAGCACGTGCGATCGATGTAAAGCAGGATGTCGTAGATAGATATCAAATAGGTACTCACTCTACTCTCTCTCAGCCCCAAAATCATTCACCAGCAGATACATACAGACAGACGTGAATACCATCCATCCATCCATCCATCCATCCAGTCACTTCATTCCACCCAGCCAGCCACCGCACCGACCCACATGGCGATAAAAGAAGCGGTGTTCCCATCTCTTTAATCATGCACCTCTCCTACTCTACTCACGCCCCTTATCAATCATCACTCCGCCGCCCCGCCACCGCCCTGCAGTCCTTTCTGCCTCTCCGGCTCCAACGGCACACTTTCACTCTCC